CCTACCTCCTGTTTTATCAGTTGAATAAGCAAGAGCAATTTTATTGTTCACATATCCAACTTTCTAACAAGACACCTAGCACTCATTAATGTCAAATGTTAGGTGATATGATGATTCATATATTAGTTATTAATGAATCACATGATCATGTTTAAAGCTTTGAATTATAACCTAATGAGAATTCTGTTTCTTAATAGTTTAGTGAAAAAGTTCGTGCAATTCATAAAAATAACCAGAGCACTTATATTTTGTTTACTGTGTATCTTAGGCTGAATTCACCCACAATTTTATATTTTCCAATGTTTGATCCATTTCTACTATGTAGAAGGTTAGGAAGGGCATGAATTAAGCTGAGTATTAATCCTTTTCCAGCATCAAGTATATATGAACCTAAATGCATGTATCCTTAATGCTTGTACTTAAATAGCCATAGCACAGAGTAGAAGGTGACTAATCCTTAGAAATTTGATTGCACAGAATTAAAACATAATTGGCTTTTTTGTACAATAAGCTATTAATATTTGAATCAGATACTAAGGAATAAGTGGAATTTCATTGTAGGGGGAGCACCTGGAGTAGTACCAACTTGAGAGGAAGGGAGAGCAAGAGACTATCTGGAGTACAAGCAGGGAATGTGAGGGGTTTGCAAGGAATGATGTCAGAACTGTGGGCATGATTAGAAATGTTTCACGTGATTATGCAAAAGCTGAATTATTACAGTGTCATTATATTAGGTATTTGTTTGGTATCCTGAGTTGAAAGCTTGGATTTGTAGTCTATATATTTGTGACCACTCTTTATAGAGGATGCTGATTAGGAAGAACACAATAGGGACTCTTTCTGTTTAATTTAGCACTATCTAGTGTACCCACTTTTGAGTAAAATAAAGAGAATGTTCTTTTGAAAATAACAAAAAATCGCTTCCTTTTTTATTGATTTTATTTTTTTAAATACACAACAGCAGATGTATTTCAATTCTTATTACACATATAGAGTACAATTTTTCATATCTTTGTATAAAGTATGTTCATGCCAATTCATGTCTTTATACATGTACTTGTTTTTTTTGCATTACAATTCTTATTACACATATATACCACAATTTTTCATATCTATTTGTATATAAAGTAGGTTGACACTCAATTCGTGTCTTCATACCTTTACTTTGAATAATGATGTCCATCACATTCCACCATCCTTGCTAATCCCCTGCTTCCTCCCTTTTCCTCCCTCCCCTCTTCCCTATCTAGAATTCATCTGTTCGTCCCATGTTCCCCCTCCCTACCCCACTATGAGTCAGCCTCCTTATATCAGAGAAAACATTTGGCATTCTTGTTTTTTGGGGATTGGCTAACTTCACTTAGCATTATCTTTTCCAATGCCATCCATTTACCTGCAAATGCCATGATTTTTTCTCTTTTATTGCTGAGTAAAATTACATTGTGTATATATGCCACATTTTTTTAATTCATTCATCCACTGAAGGGCATCTAGGTTGGCTCCAGAGTTTAGCTGTTGTGAATTGTGCTGCTATAAATATTGATGTGGCTGTGATACTATAGTGTGCTGTTTTCAAATCCTTTGGTATAGTCCAAGGAGAGGGATAGCTGGGTCAAATGGTGGTTCCATTCCCAGATTTCCAAGGAATCTCCATATTGCTTTTCATATTGTCTGCACCAATTTGCAGTCCCATCAACAACATATGAGTGTACCTTTTCCCCGCATCCTCGCCTTTATATCAGTGTCAGCTGTAGAATTATATGAATAGGAGCTGCTTGAGATATATGAAATAAACTAGAAATATTAATTATAATGCAAATGATGGTAACTCATTTATACATATTCCTTACTGAAGCCAGGGACTTCTCTAAACCATTTACATTCATCAGCATAGTTTACATGTTTTCCCCATTCTCCAAATCTGGAAAGTAAAACAGAGGAGTAACTTGCTCAATATAACATAAGTGGTATTTATTAAAGAAGGTATTTGAAGACACTAAGGTCATCATATTTTATAATGAGGCAAGGAATCGCAAATATCTACCCAAATTCAATACCTAGCCAGTTGTATTTTAAAATTCTAATAATTCAAGAGAGCTTTTAAAAACAAAATAAAATAAGAACAGTAAAATTAAAGCAACTTCCTGTAGAGTTTTTCACTGAAGAGAATTGGATTTAGAAAATATATTTTTTTATTTAAGTAGAATTTCTAAATGAAGAATAAAGGTCATTATTGAAAGAAGAGCAAGGACATGAGTAATAATGAATAAGATTATGCTTTTACTATTTATCGTGCATTTATACTTTGATGTGATTATTCATGTTTAATGTTTCGTAGATATTTCACAAAGGTATACTGATTCTTCAGATTTATTTATTGCTGGCTTCTCAGAAACTAGCATCTATTTTAGATTCGTTACCCCAGTAAAAGTGCTTTTCTAGTACAGCCTTAAATATTCCTGGGTCTTCTGGGAAAGAGAGAATTTCTTCATTGTAGAATGGCAGTATGTCCTTTAAATAAGTGGAGCAGAGGCCTGTCACAAAGTCAGATATAGTGTGTTTGTGTTTTACCAATCACAAGCAGAATAATGTTCTCTGTGATTATAAAAGTGATCTCCACCCAAGTCAAGAATTTCCATTTTTTTCAGTATCAGGGAAATGGATCTTGCTCATTGAAGCATCTTAATCATTTACATCTTAAGCTCAGTTAACTAGAATTTGCCCTGCTTTCCTATTTTTTGAAGAACATGTCAGCATGGGAAAATTCGACCCCAGTTACCCAAGTAGGTGTATGTAGGTAGTGTGGGCTCAAGCTCATTTTCATCTGTTCTTCTTGGTGGTCTTTGCCAGAGATACTTCTAGCAGCTCCTAGTTTCAAACACTCTTTTCCCTTTCCAAAAGTTGAGGATACTTCTGATTAAATAGCCCAGTCAGCCTTATTTGTATTCACCTGGTTAGAGTCAGAAAGTCTTTCAGAATCATTCCAGGAAATTGTGGGAAGCTCTGTTTTGCTTATCTGTCAAGATTCTTTGCTCTAGCTTGTCATTTTGATACCATATTTGATTATTGGATGTTTGGAGAGACCCACCTATCATTGAGAATTTTATCATTCTTCTTGATAATACCTACTTCAGCATCCCCATATTCCTCACCAATTCCTGTTTTATAATGCAATATGCTTCCTTTTGATTCATTTTTCTTCATTGAACACACCTCTTTGTGGCCATTTTCACAATATTCATTATACCATGTTTTTTAACCCAATTCTTCTATTTCATTCATCTGTTACTTCAAAACATACATCTTTTTATAAATATTTTTCAATTAAAGAATACAGTATGATTATTACCAATATCATTTAAAATGTAAAACTTTGAAAAAGGTTATATGTTATTCACTATATTTCATTGTATTTGTGCTTTTTGTGCTTTTTTTGCAGTGCTAATTGGTTGTGCATGATATTTTATTAACAGTGCATTCATCTCTAAGTTTGCGTGTGTTACATATTCTATTTGGCTATTAAAAATATTTGTGTTTTTAGAATGTAAATAACTTGGTCAATGATCTGTTGTAGACATGTCTAAAGTAACTGAAATGATTGTAATTTGTTATGGCTGTATATTCATCCAAACACACTCATGGAACAAGATTTGGGCAAAATGATGTCATTTTTACAGATTTCTTCTCCCATGACCAGAACTGTGTATAGATAAGGAAAATATTTTAAAATCTACATTAATTTTCTTTTAGACCACCAAATACTATGCAAGATATAAAAAGTGGCCCATTTTAATTCACAGTCCCAGATGCTTAAGAATATAATAATAGCACCTTTTTAGCTAGAGAGAGAAGCTAAAATATTATTTGGCCATATTTGAGGCCAAGTAATGTAATTTCAAAAAAGTGAAGTCGAATTTAAAATAATGACTGCATGTTAGTTATGATGTAATATATTATACATTACTGATTTATTATAATTTTCTGATTTTAATCTAGAATTCTTTCAGAATGAGCTGCCCTCTCCAACTCACAATGCATTTAACACAATCTTTGTTGCAGGTTACTTAGTTATAGAAAATCTATCAAGTAAGTTCACAAAATACTTTTTTCTTCTTTTGAATATCAACTCCCAATCTTAATGTGTGGTTCCCTCTTTGTATGTTTGTTGGAAAAACCTCTAAGCTGGATATAAATCATAAAAGCATGACTAATTGCATGGTAACTGGAGAAATGCTCTCTCTCTCTCTGGAGTGAAGTCTGCATGTCTGTATTTTAGCTTGGGAAGTAATATGGGGATATTTAAACTCCTTGGGATTTAAAAACCATGTCATTATGAGAATGAGGTCACTGCAATATTTTATACCTTCTAAAACCTTGTAATGTATAAAATGTTTTCTGTATGACAAAGAGGTATTATGTGCTTTAGAATTCAATGATAACTTTATGCCCTTATATTTACTGGAAAAACCTTATTCATGAAAATGTTAAATCCTTCACTTAAAGTCACTGAAAAAAATTGGAAGAGTTTTGTACTGTGAATACAAAGAAAATGAACTCAAAGAGAGCAAGTTAACTTCATGACAGAGTGACTTTAGAGGTCTGTTTTGCATTTGGTTTTTGAAATGTTCCTGTTCTTTTCATGTTAACAGTATAGCCAGTGACCAGGCTTAAATGAAAGAATACATTCTAACAAGACTCCATTTTGTACTTTTCTTTACATGGAGGCCAATAAGCAAGAAATCCTTTCTGCAACATGTTGAAGAGCTTTGCACAAACAACAACCTAAAGTTTCAAGAAGAATTTTCGGTATGTTACCAGCAGTTGTCACAACATTGCAAGACCTCCCGTCGTTTCATGTGTCACATTTCATGTCCATTTTAAGCATGCAAGGCCATGAAGGACTCTGGCCTTGATAATCAATACCCAATTACCAGGTTGATTGTTTGGATAGTAATGTTACACTGGGTGGCCTCTAGTGCAACCTGATCAGAATTATTCACCTACTGTGTCAGGAAAAGGTGCTCATCTTCAGACCTCCCCTTCAATGGCAGGCTGGCCCCTTTTCTTCTTGTTCTTTCATCTAGGTGGAGATGCAAATCCAGAGCAATGTGTTCAGTAGTTTTTGTTTGCATATGAGCTTTAGGTCATATGATAAACTTAGTTTTACATTTAAATAATTGGTTTAGATACAGACACTAAATTATTCCATTTTTATTTGCATGCTTAGTGTACATTAGCAGTTCAGAAGAATATGAGAACAGAACTGGATGCTTCCAGAAACTATAAAAATAGTATTATTTCTAGAACTATCCCATAATTTAAAAAAATAAAATAAGTAATGGGCTGTTTTACAAGGCCTATTTTTAAGTAACTGTGGAATAAATGATATATCATTATGGAGACATGTAAAACTAAGAATTTATTACTTTAAAACTTTTTTAAAAGTTGGGAATCATTATTATTGTTTTTAACATTTCATATCTACAAAATTGAGAGTATTTAAGGACTCAGATTGATATCAAATCTGTAAGCTTTTTTGAGACTTGTGTCTATCCTATCTTAGATAATTATTTTATATTATAAAAACAAAATAGATTTCTGTCACCAAAATCTCTATTTCTTTTTGTTTTTTCATGAGTGCTTTAGTGTGTGAACTTATGAACAAAGATTCAAATAATTGGCTTAAATAATTTAGGATTAAAATATTTCAGTCTCTCAAGGAATAATAACAAAAGTGTGAGAAGATTAATGGTATTTCCTGCAGCTTTTTTGTTATGCTTCTTAAGTAATATTGGTTTGGACTTAACAAATTCAATGGAACCATCAAATTTTTCTTAGCATTTATACAGTGAGAACTTTCACTTTCTCAGGAACAAAAGTAAAATTTTGCTAGAATAGAGCGAACATAATTACATTATGTATGACTAAGTAGATCAAAAGTTTTATTAGCAATAACATATTCACATATTGTGAAAGTTTCCAGTTTAACTTTTTTTTGAGACCATGGTTTCAAGAAAATAAAAGTTTAAATTTAAACTGTTTTTATCCTAATTATTTTTTTAAAACAAAATTATTATACAGTAATAAACAAATGCATATTTGATACAGATTTTAACTCAGGTCATATTCACTTATACCTTAAATATATAGAAGCTTCTATTATTATGACAGATATTTTATTTGATATGTTGATATATATCAACCCAGCACTTACTATTCAAGTGACCTTGGACAAATTAAACTGGGTGCCTCAACTCTGTGCCTTTGTAAAATATCTACCTCTCTTAATTTTGGCCACTAAAATGCTTGAATATGTGCAATATTATGAATAGTGGCTGGTACAAGTTTTAGCTATTATGATAATTCCTACCACAAGGAAGCTAATATTATGGCAAGAACTGTAAACGTATATTTAAAAAATTGCAAACACATTGTGTCATGATGAAGGTCTGCATAAAGAAATGAAGATCAACTGGGCACAGTAGCCTGCACCTATAATTCCAGCAGCTTGGGAGTCTGAGGCAGGAGGATTGGGAGTTCAGAGCCAGCCTCGGCAATTTAGGGAGGCCCTAAGCAATTCAATGACACCCTGTCTCTAAATTAAATGCAAAAAGGGCTGGGGATGTGGCTCAGTGGTTAAGTGTCCTGAGTTCAATCCCCGGTACAAAAAAAAAAAAAAAGAAAGAAAAGAAATGAAGATCAACTCTGAATATTAGAGACTTCATTAAAAAGGGGGGCTTTAAGATGAACTATAGAATGAGCAGAAGAACAATGGGAAGGCAGAGAGGAAACTACTCCAGAGAGAGGGAGTGGGGGAAAAGCTCAGCAGAGCAGTGGACTCATTATGATCTCAGGAAACAGATGACACAGGCGTTGGGGGAAAGAGCTTCAGGGGAAGATCACTGATGCCTGGTGTGCCCTGGTAGGAACAGGACCACTACCAAACAGCCTGGTAATTGAGTATTGGTGATTAAGGTCAGAGTCACTTTATAAGTGGAAACTTCTAGTGTGAAGTAATTGCAAAATGTAAATACCACTTTTCAGTCAATTTCTAACACTTCTAATGTGAAGTAATTGCAAAATGTAAATACCACTTTTCAGTCAATTTCTTTCCTCCTCTTTATATGCTCCCAAAGCCTTTAAACAAGGAAGTTCTTCTAGTTCTCCTCATTTCATTAAAAAAATTTAGCAGGCTAGGGGTACAGCTAGTGTACAGTGCTTTCCTAGAATGCTTGAGGCCCTGGGTTCAATGCCTGAAAGAAAAAAAAAATTGAAACCTGTGGTGCCAGCACATCAGAATCCAGCTGCTTCCACTCTCTTTTCTGACACAGGACCACATGCAAACAACTGTCCAGTTCAACTTTTTAAGGAAAAATGAGAGAGGAGAATCATTGATTTAAAACAAATACTTTATAATAATGTTGAAAAAATGTAAAAACTCACATTTTAACATTTATTAAGGAATTTGGCAAGCTGAGGGTTCTAAAATGGAAAATCACAAATTTCATAAATGTAAGTCATCTGCTCAAGAAAATAATGCATATGTTTTGCAGCAGCTTTCTGCAAGATGCTTGTATTACAAAGAACAAGGTAGATAATATTGTGATTTTTTTTAACCCCAATGTCAATAATAGATTTTCTTGACCCTTTGTCTGTGTCTGATAATTCTTAATAGTACCTTTGCATTCCACTATCAATTTAACAGTGCCTACTGAGCACAGGAATTGACCTCTGGCATCTTCTCAAACTGACCAATGTTGTACCAATTAATAGGCATGAAATCACACTGCCCAAGGAGGAAAAACAAAAAATAAATCATGAACTCCCTTTGTCTTACTAAGTTGACATTAAAATATTAAGGAAAAGCCAGTGTGTGGCTGATAAAACCATGAGTGACATAGGAAGGAGTCACTAGCCTGGTTGCCACATCTTAGGGCCTCCCAAAGTGTAAAGAAATTATCTCAATAGAGGGCAATATTAACTGATTAACATCATTAAGTTAATGAACATTAACTTATAAAGCTTAGGTAAACTTACTACTATTCATTTGACCTTGTTTCCACATTTAACATAGGGGTTTTCAATTAAAAAAAAATTTTTTAAAGAAATTTCTTTAGCTCTACAGAGAGAGAGAGAGAGAGAGAGAGAGAGAGAGAGAGAGAGAGAGAGAGAATATTTGTTTCTTAGTTTTTCGGCAGACTCAACATCTTTGTTTGTATGTGGTGCTGAGGATCGAACCCGGGCCCGCATGCATGCCAGGCGAGCGCGCTACCGCTTGAGCCACATCCCCAGCCCAATTAAAAAATTTTAAAAAGGTTTAAAGAATCATATTTTACTGTGGCATTTCTCATGCACTTCTGAGAAATAATTTTTGCAATGACTTTATTTCACAGGAATTACCAAAATTTCTTCAGGATCTCTCTTCAACTGATGCAGATCTCCCTTGGAATAGAGCAAAAAATCGCTTTCCAAATATAAAACCATGTATGTACCCTTATTGTTGCTGGTATATCTATGAAGTGTTTTAAAATGTTCACCACCTTAATTTTTTGTATTTCTTAAATGTTTTATTCATATTAAGTGAATTATAGCAATGTATCTCATTAACAGTGACTTTCAAATTATACCTTTTGCTTTGTTCACATTTAGTGGAGTTAATATATATGGTTTTCAGCTTGTTCACACAATGTTCACTTTTGCAGGTGCAAGAAACTGTAGATCTAATGGTTTCTTAGCTTTGTAATTTAACCCAAGTAAGGAACATGTTTTACATCTTCCTACAGACCCAGTCTCAAATGAAAAGAGAAAGTTCACACTTTGTGCATTAGTTTCCCTCAAGAGCATAGCCCTATGGGACATAAAAAATGCCTCACAAAATACTGATCAAACATCACAGTAAATGTATGTTTACCAAAACTGCTTTTACAAAGGAGGCAGAGATGTGCTTTACCAAAATGCATCTTAGTTCTTATATCAATTAGAAAAGAAACAGTATTATTGTTTTAAGAACTGGCAGCGGTATACAGGGAAAAATGTGAAATTCCTCTGTTACTAATAGTTATGTTTTATATTTTATTTTTTAAGAGATGGTCCTACTGTCACCATTCTGATCTAATATATTTTATATTAAAAATTAAGTGATATTCTTGATGCTCTGAAAAATTATTTCAAAACATAGAGTTTTAAAATATTATTTATTTTAAAGTTTATATGTGTACATATGTATATACATATATATATTATATATTTTATTTTTATGAATTTTCAAAGTGTATTGGAAAAATTTCTATTCTAAAAAATTGAACTTTTCTATCTGGAAATTCATGGACTTAGAGAAGGTTATAATCACAGAACATAAAGATGTGGATATGAAGAAATAGACCAAATTCTGTTATTCTAAAACTGGAGGATAACTTTTACATGAAGGAAACAGATCTAGGGAAACATGATACAGGAGGTAGTAATCTAATGCAACCTGTTAATTCCTAAGAACCAGACAAAGATGAAAATGTAAATACTTTCACCACCTAAAATCCTTTCTACCAAAAAACTAATCATAAATAAATAACTTAATGAGAATGATGACAAATAATACTTTGTTATAAGAAATAAATTAGTAATACATTTCTAAACTTCAAAATCATGACCTTTCTCAACATCTTTTGTTCTCCCTTTCAGAGAGTTAACCTGGGCTGGATACATCATATGTTTAAAGGGGAATCCCATGTTTTTATATTTATCTGTACTAAATTTCTTCCAGACTATTTGTTTCATGCTTGTTCAGTGTTGTTCTATGAAAATAAATATTCTAATCTGATTGAAAGACAGTTGCTGTGGTTTTACAGAGCTGGGGTCCTGCCGGGTTGAGCTAGGGCAACACTGCAAATCCTTGGGTTCTGGTCCTTGTGACTTTTCAGAAAGAATTTGAGTGAAACATAGCAAAAGTTTAATAGAGAATGAAAGCAGAAGGTTATTTACAGCCGATGGACTGCATAGACCCCCTCAAAGAGAGGATTGTGAGGTACTCACACAGCTGGAGTTTTTTTTTTAATTTTTTTTTTTTGTAGTTGTAGATGGACA